GGTCAAAACGTTGACGGCGGCGAGACTACGGATCCGCGATCTGATCTGAGTAGAGCAAAAAAGCGGGGTCGGCGGACATTGTCCCGACGGCCTGAAGGCGGCGGCAGTCCTGGATCTCAGCGGGGGTTGATCGCGGTACGGCAGGCTGACAGGGTGAATGCTGGTCGTCGCGGAGCTGAGCGTCGGGCCGTCGACAGGCCAAGGGCGGTGGCCGGTGGCGGGCGGTGGAGCTCATTCGGAGGCGGATCTGGGCTAAGTGAGGTCGAGATTGGTGCCGCGGGGCGGAGGCTGGGGCGGTGCGAGATCGGAGGCGGCGGGCGGCTGGCGTTGGGCGGCTCGAGCGGCGGGAGGCGGAGACTGGGTGACGGCCAGGTCGGGGTTATGGCGGTGGAGAGGCAGTGCGTGGGGAGGTGGAGACGATGGGATGGTGGAGGAGCAGGGGCTGCGGTTTTCGGTGCGGGTCTGGGTAGGGTTGTCGCTCGAGGGGCTGGCGGAAGTTGGGGATGAGGTGGTCGGAGTTCCAGTGGTGGAAGGCGGAGGTGGGTCGCGGCCTGGTGGCGTGGTTAAGCGAAGGACGAGAGCGGAGAGAGAACGGAGAGAGAGAGGAGAGAGATATTACAGAGGCGGCGGGTTTTCTTAATGACACAGGAGAGAGATACATATGAAATAAAATATTATAATAATATTAGTTAGGTTTAGGAAATAAACAAAGAATAAATTAAAATAAATACTATTGGGTACCTAAAATAAACTAAATTGCAGAAATAATTATCTACAAATAAAAACGTACAGGTTGTGCTATTACAACAGTTGATACGAAATATCCGAAATATACCCATATTGTATAATAAACAGAAATATTAATAAATAAAAATATATTATATATTTAAAATCAATAATTATGGGATAATTATCTATACAGTAAAACGTACAAGTTATACTAATACGACAGATAATATGTAACAGTAGAAATAATACAGCAAATTATACCAAAAACACGTAATTAATAATACTATGTATTATATGAAATAATTTGTAATAACATTAATAATACAATATATTATTTAAAATATTACGTAATAGTACCGATAACTCAACAAATTAATTCTAGAAATTTTTACTGCATAAAACAAATTTATAAATATCAAAATCATTTCAATAAACATATAATCAGGTTTTTAAATCATAGAAAATTGTAGAAAATCGAGAAAAATAAAAATACACTTTTAAAAATAATAATTAAATATTTTAAAATATCAGAAGAAGTACTTAAACCAGTATCAAAAATCACGGTCCTTACAATTTCTATCCTGCATTTCAAAAATTTCTTGTCAAACTCATCAATGTGATATTTTGAAATATTACCATGAGGGAAAAACAAAAATAATTTCCATTTTCAAAGCTTAAACCGTAATTTTTTTCTAACTTCTAATATTTGAACATCTAGAGTACAAATTGGTTATTTATTTATCACAGCACACTGGATTGATGACACTTAGCAAATGTTTAAAAGAGTTATTTATTTGATTTCATTTGAAGGTTCACACACTCATGTAAATATTACAAATTTGATAATGGAAGACATTTCAAAATTAAAAGTTTCTAAAAGAATATTTTCTCTCTCACTAGATAATGAAAGTAATAATATAATAGCTATAGATCATATCAAATCATATTTGTTATTGCCTTGCTAAGGTGATATTTTCATATTAAATGCACGCGTCGTATTTTGAATTAAATAGTTTAAAGTGTGTTTGATGAAACTAAACCAATGACAGAAAAAGTTAGAGTTATAGCTTATGCTCATAATGCTTTTGAATAAAAAATTAAAAGAAGAAAACAATTATAGAAGAAAAATGTAGATGTTGATTACAGGTGAAATTCCACCTACGTAGTGTTAAAATGTAGCAAATACAAAGAAATTATAGATAATTTTATTGCTTTTTATACTTCCAGTTCAAGCGTTGCATCTAGTTCTGGTAATATGTATGGAATAACTAATGATAAATGAGCAATTATAAGTTGTGTAAAAGAGATGCTACAAGTTTTTTTTGAAGTTACTATGTTATTATCCGGTTGTTATAATCTAACTATTACTCGAGTTGTTTTATAAGTTTTAAATATTCAAACTTTTTTAATACTTATCGCATGGATAATTATTTTTCAGACATAATTTTGTAATATAAAGCAAATTTAGTAAGTATTTTATACATATTCCTATTATTTTTGGTTTAGGGAATCTTATTGATCCATGGTTGAAGGATATTGGTCTCCAAAGTTTGTTGAATTCTTTGTATGAGAACATGGTAATAGAAACTAGTAGCGATCACACTATTACTACTCTTACTTATCATAACACTATTAAATATTATTTTTAAAGATTATTTGATGAGTATGCAGGTAGATATTGTGCAAATGCACCTCAATCTAGAAGTTTTACAAGTTCTAGATGGGACAAATGTAAGTTTTTTGATAAGCAATCAATGATAGAGAGCCTAACAGGTATGGGTAGTAGCCAGTGGATTAGGATCATCAACAAGACAAATTTCTAAAATTGATCAATATTTAGCTGCATATTTAATTAAACCTCAAAATAATGCTGATTTCGATATTTTGCAATGGTAGAGAGTATATGGAGCAGTTTTATATCCTATGCCTTTCACTATGGCTGGTCACTTACTAACAGTGCAGGGCTTTACTGTAGTTTTGAAATCTATCTTCAGTACATTAGAACATTTGATCGACGACCATAAAACATCCTTGGATCCGTCTACCATACATGCGGTAATGTGCCTATAAGATTAGGGGAGGTACGAGAAGAGAACCTAATGCATCGACTGGATAGTAGTATTGAAGATAGACTTAATGAGTTGACAACATGAGATAAATAGTAGAAAGTTATTTGTAATTTATAATTTTTACTTTTTAAATGTAAATTTATGATAAATTATTTTGGAAGAAGCTGCAAATGATGGCGATATAGATGAGTAGATGCCAACCTAATGAAGATGTACTCATCTATTGTGATGCGATAAATTCTAAAAAATTTGTAGTTGTTAGTGATTAATTATTATTTTAATGTATAAGAACTTTGCAAATTGTATAATTATAAGTGAATAATATTAAGATAGAATTTTTGTCACATTTTCTCATATTTTAATTACTCTTGAAAGTTTGTTTTTTTTTTTTGCAAAAAACTAATTTTTATCATTTTTTTTGGAAAAAATAAAAATAAAAAAAATTTGGGTCGGCATGATGTCGAGCCCGGTTTAGCTCGGACCCGGGCCCGGGCCCTCTGGGTTAGAGTCTAGACAAGGTATTTTGTCTGGACCAGACCCGAAAACCCAGGTCGAGCCAGGCCAGGCTGGCTCGTTTGGACAGGCTTATGTATTGTAACTACATGTCCACGTTTACAAGCATCACTACAATGTGAGATAGGCTTAGGACATGGATGACTAGTACTTGGAGCTTGGAGGAACACAACAATATGAGCTTTCACACGGTTCCTCTTTGTAAGTAGGAAATTCAATTGATAATAACATTAGAAAATAAAGGGTTGTGAGATATATTTAGTAAGTGATTTTAGGGTTTTGATAAAGGTTTACACCTTCACGATAATCATTTTGGCAATATTATGGAATCTTGTAGTGATTGAATTAAGGACGATGATCCCACATCCTCCAGTCTATATTATAACGGTCATCTTTAATTACGTGTTATCACTTTTTACGAGTATGAACCTTACGAGATTGTTAAGATTCCTTGATTATTACCAACTAGCATTTCTATCTGAATCGTCCTGTTGTATCGTCCACATCATAGTGTCAGTTCAACGTGTCCCGACCTTTCTTTTGGCATTGCAACCTTGTAGATTGTTATCGACCTCCGTAAATTCAGTGGCGGAGCCAGGATTTTAATCTTATGGTGTCCTATAGATGCATCGGTAATGGTGAAAAATACAGCTCTCTCAACATAAGCCATCAAACTATCATTAAGCTGAAAAAATTCGAACCCGCGCGCATGCGGGGTTCCTTGCGAGATTCGAACCCGCGCGCATGTTGGGTTCCTTGAGACCCTTTTCCGCTAAACCATCTATACTTTTGTTATTTTTATATGTGCTCTCTGATAGATATTCAGTTTTTACTGATGTCCTGGGAACCCAGAGGCACCAATTCAGCTCCGCCCCTGCCTCCGTTATTGCTTTTTTTCTTCTTTCGGGTTACCCTCACGTCCTCATGATATGGCTTCAACTTTAGGATTATTAGATGTAATAGAGAGTGTAGCTGCTGAGGAGATCTGTGTAAAGTCGATGGATTGTCCACAACTACACACGACAAGAACAAACTCCACCAGAAACGAGGCAAAGGAGGAGGAAGTAGGTGATATAATGTTTTAGATTGCCCTAAAACTGCATAGCAAAACTATAATACAAAGGAAGGATGGTTTTCGACAGGATGTCCCCCCCAATTTGGGGGAGAAAAAGGGAACCAAACACCGCAAACCCACCTTAATTTCCCCCAATTTGAGGGAGAAAAAGGAAGGTCAAACTTGCATTGGCAATATTCAAGGAGAAGCAAGTTATTTTCTTCAAGAAATTCTGGACCTTCAACAGCGAGCTTTTATTTTAAGCCACCTTAATCTCTCAACTTTACCCCTTTGGTTCACTGAAGACCTTGTAAAGGAAGCCAAACACCCCAAACCCACCTTAATTTTCTATGATTTGACAATAACACAAAACTCCTAATAACAATAGGGCTCAAGCAAATCCCAATAACCTCCAAAATGGGTTTGATTTCGCAGCCAAATGGAAGACTTATTACAATTGTTTTTTGCGAAAAGGCCGCGGCCAAGGTAAAAGATGCTAATAATTTACTTAAACACGATTATTATTATCTAAGAGCAATAATTCTATAAGTAAAATCAAGATACAACATCAATGATAACAAAGCCCTTATCCCAAATATTTGGGTTCAGCTGTACGCATCTTACTCTTCCGTCCAGTTCAAAAATCAAGACATAAGGGTGCATAATTGACCAGATCCAAAGGCCTTAAAATATTCATTCAAAAAACAAAAAGCCCGTAAAATAACAAAAATCAATGCATATGGGGAACTCACATAATTAAATAACAGAAGCAAATAGTTAAAATCTTGTTATCTTTGCCTGGACAATAAAGGAATACACTATACAAGAAACATCTTGCTGCTCTTTCCTTCCAAAAGAAACAGTCTTGTATGTTCATTTAAAGCCTACCCATGGGCAACTATTGACAAATACCATAGTTTGGCAAGCTTTAGATCCCACTGAAGTATTAAAGACAATGATGCCACTTATTTTGCAATGAATCAGATCGATGAGGAGCTCGTTTTCACTGAACACTGCATTGCCAAGTCTTCTCCATTTTTCCATCATCAGATCAAAATCTCAATCATTGCTAAGAACATATATCCTTGCACCCATATAGAGCCTGTTAAGAGATTATCAAACTGCACTAACTTATCACCAGTCTATATCGGTACAGTTTTCAAGAGCGAACATATGAAGTCGTTTCAAAACCCAACAAGAACGGGAAAAAGAAAAGAAAATATCTCTGCTTACTAGGCACTAGAATGGCGGAAAATATTAAATCCCTTCAACAACTCTGATTCCTGCTTTTCGATCCCATTCTTCAGGAGAAGGAGCATCATCCATGATCTTCTCTTGACCACGCCAGAGAATCTACAGAAGCAAAACAAAACCAACCAAAGTTTCCTATTCCTTTAAAAAATGAAAGTGTAAATTACACATAAAAGAACCCATTTATACCATGTTTACAAGAAACTCTCACGTAAAAAGTTCAACAGAAAAAAAAAGAACCCTCATCTACAATCATTTATGAAATTGTTAGTTTTGTAATGGAGTTTGGTTCTTCAGATGTATGAATAGACATCCACATGCAGAAATCAAGATTATTGTAAGATTATAATTTTTTACTTTATCCAAAACTAACTTTTTCTCTATTTTCTTTTATTCAACTCCCAAAATCTGTGAATTTGAAGTTAAAGCTTCTATCCAGATGTCTACTCTAAGGGGCTGTTTGGTTCAATTTAAAAAAAAAAAAGAAGGAAAAATGCTCAAATTTTAATTTCCTTGTATTTCTATAAAATTTGTAGGAAAAATTTATAGAACTCAAAGAGTACTATATTTCTTCTTTTTTTTTTTGCTATTTCTATGTTTGGTTCAAAGCATGAAAAAGTTCCTAACTTTATAGAAAATAAGTTGTTTTCTTTTTCTTTTGTTTGGTTGGATATCACTTTATAGAAAATATATTACTAACAATGCCCATGGGAAATCACATGGGGAATGGTACTAGTGTATTTAATTATTTTTTAATATAAGTGTCAGAATTCTAGGCAATTTTCTCTCATTTGGAGCGGAAGTTGATTTCTATAAAATACCCCACTTTTCTCTACTTTATAGAAAACATTTCTATAATTTTTTTTTAATTAACAGAAATCTACTGAAATCTATTATTTATAAAAATGCCATTGTCTGGTATTTTCTCAAAACTTTTCTATAAAATGGGTGAACCAAACACCCCCTACGTGCAATCGTGTACCCGGATGTTTGAAGAATAAAATTCTTTGTAATGGTTTCAACGATACTCATGAATGAGAGGTTTTTGGTAGAACTTTTTAGATGAGGGGTCTATTGAAAAACGGGTTACATATAGAGGGTTTTCTTGTAATTTATCCAAAACAAAAAAAAGGAGAAAAAAGAATTCTAAAAAAAGCAAAGATTTTTGTTATATTTGTGTCTTTGCCAACTTTAAGTTATCATACACAATGTATGGACAGAGGCATTACAAATACATTGACCAAATTAGAAGCAAGTTACCTTATCAATGACACCAAATTCCTGAGCTTTCATTGAGTCCATATAAAATGGCCTTCTCATCACCTTTGATACTGTCTCCACAGACTAATAAACTACTAATCAGATTTCGGTTGAAATTTGATGCTGACAAGAAGATCAATGTAAGTTTAGATAGTACTTACATTTCCAGTGTGCTTCGCTAAAAGTTTAACGAGTGTATCCCTGTTGGTTATAACCTGTAAAAAGCATCAAATCCCTTTAAGTAATAATGTAACATTTCCAACAAAAAAGAACATTTAACAAGGAGAAATTACATCATGCCAAGTCAAAAGAATTGTGTAAAAAATTGAATTCCAGTTGAAACAGAATAGGAAAAAGATCATAAGAAATATAACACAAGAACAATAAATAAATAAATAAGCACATGCTATTCTTTGCAAATAAGGTTCGAGACCAATTGATGATATTATGACTAAAATCATTTTCATCAACCGCACTAAGTTGCGTTGCTTCAAGGTGAAGCCCTTATTTGGTAACAAAAGTTTATAGGTAGATGAAAATGAACACAACACTAAAACTATTTGTCGTTTTAACTTCTACAGCATCCCGTAATCCAACTTTAGCTGGAGAGAAATAAAAGGAATTCTCAAAAGATATAATAAACTAGACACGTATCAGCACCACAGATAGTCAACTAAGCCTTTTCTTACTGAAAATTTCAAACTTGATTGCATACGGAATAAAGCTGTAAGGATTTGACAAATTTACAAAAGCAGATATCAAACTAATCAAAACCCCTCAATATGATAAAATAATAAGAGAAGAAATTCGGTGGCCATCAAGGAAGAAGTTTGTTTAAAGGTGATTAACTTATGTTAACAAATTGACACAGCCAAAGAAAAATTGTTTACTCACCTTAAAAGAGAGGAAATGTTGGTTAAAGATACATCAAAATTTCATTGGCTTGAAGAGGGGGATCGAAATATGGTTTTTTTCATGCTTCCATCAAAGACAAGTTGCTGTGTCAAAATTTCAGTTGAAGTTATCAGTAGGTGTGTACGCTACAAATGATGGTGTCATTGGTTCAAATGCAGTTTTCTTCTTTGCAAACCAGTTTACTACTGCAGACTATGTTTCCCCAAATGACTTTTTGGCCCACATTCCCTTTACAGGAGATCAAAATGAGTCTTTGTAGTTTACCGGATGAAAATGGGATTTTCATGACTAGGGTTGAATCCTACGTCACAAGAGTGCTCCAGGACAAGATGGATTTACTGGTCATTTTTTTATATCTTGCTGGGAGTTAAATTGATGTAATAGCAACCGTACAAGATTTTCTAGGGAGGGCAGCTTCCATGGTCTATTACTTCAACCACTCTTGTTCTTCCTGCCAAAAGTCAAGAGACCTTCATCTTTTTCAGATCTTCGACCCATTAAACTATGCTCTTTTATGTCTAAAATTGTTTAAGGATATTGTCAAACGGAATTGGTATTGCATTGCCACTAATTATCTAGCAGGAACAGTCCGGTTTTGTGTCCGGTCGAAGTATTCATGAGACAATAGCTCTTGCAAATGAATTAGTTCAAGAAAGAGATGGAAATATTTATGGGGGAAATGTCCTGTTTAAGATCGATATGGCATAGGCATATGATCGATTGAATGACACTTTCTACTAGCTGTTTTAAGGAAGTGTAGTTTTAGTGAAAGATGGTGTTATCTAATTTTCAAAAACATTTCTATTTGTTGGCATACTATCCACTTCAAAGTTGCATGATTTTTTTTTAAAATCATCGAGGGGCTTTGACAAGGGGGGGCCTTTATCTCCCGCACTCATTATAATTACTCAGAAAGCTTTTTTGAGAAATCTTAACAAGTTGGTGCAAGAGGGTTCTGTTGGTAGATTTAATGTGGGCATATCTCTTCTTGCTCCCTCTCATCTTCTATTTGCAGACGACGCGCTTTTAATTGTTAATGGTCAAAAGAAATCCATAGCAAGTTGCATCACCCTTTTAAGGAGCTATGAGGCGGTTTCAGGTTGGCTGGTTAGCAAACATAAAAGGTCCTTCCTTGTGGGTCAAAGTTGCACTATATCTTGGAGAGCATCCATTCACCCCAGGACTGATTTTGCATTTAAAACCGTCCCAACAAAGTATATTGTAGTTCCCTTATGCAAAGGTCAACCTATTATCATTATGTTTTCAGACTTAGAATCCTCCATTAGATTGCCGGTAGATGGGTGGAAAGGAAAGTTGTTGTCGTTTGCAGGCAAGTTAACTCTAATAAAGCATGTTCTATCCTCAATTCTAATTCACTCCTTAGCTGCAACCTGCAATATCCTTGCCTAAAATGCTGCTTTTGAGATTAGAGAAAATTTTTGTCAATTTCTATGGAATTCTAATGGAGAAAGTAGGCATAATTAGAATTGGTGGCAAAATGTTTTGCGGTCTTTTGGATAGGGTGGTTTTGGCATTTGCCAACTGATTTAAGTCACGGGCTCCCTCCATGCAAAATTGGCATGGTCTTTCCTTCGAGGTGAGCCAATATGGGTAGATTATATGCTGAATAAATATGGAACACTGGAGATAATATCTTGCATAGGGGCTGCCCTCACATTTGGCGAGCAAGTTTTCCTTATATTGAGGAGTTGCATTCACAATATGTTGGGCAAATAGGTAAAGGGTTGGGATCCTTTTAGCATAGCAATTGGAGTGGTACAAATTTGTGATTTGAAGGTGAGCCTCAACCTCATATAACAGTTAAAGAAACTCTCTCTTCTCCCTCATTTCTAACGTGTATTGTCACTAATATTCCATTTGTTATTCAAAGTAATTTTATTAATGTCATGTTTGACAAGAATAGACCTCATATCTTGTGTTGGAAGGAAACTCAAAATGGAGAATTCTCTTCTGTAGTATACTAGAGGAAAAATAGATCATCTCATCCTCAATTTAATTGTTATTCTTAATTATGGCTTCCTCCAAAGATTGGAGTCTTATATAGTAGCTGTTTTGTAATGCTTTGGAAGTGGATGTGAATGTTCGTAATTTGAGTATCCCTATTGTCTCTAAATGTATTTGTTGTGTAAACGGGCAAACAGAGACCCTCCCTCATCTCTGTTAGTAGTTCAACAGCAAGAATTATCTGGAAATACTTTGCCGACAATCTGAATGTTCTACGAAAAGTGAATTCTGCGCAAGGGTTGTTTAATGCATGGTTTCAAGGCTCTAAAACCAGAAGCCAGTTTGGTCTAACAAAGATTGTTGTTTGTTTTTGTGTTTGTTAGGACGGAACACGTCAACCTACGAATGAATTCCTATGAATGTATCAAACATTATTTTCATGATAAACGATTGGCTTAACCAAATAATGATTGGGTACACTCCGAAAACGGTCCTCGGGTTTCATGATGATTTATGATTGCAAGCCATTGGTGTCTTGGTGATTGCTCCTGTTGTTAAGAAAGGAAAATGGATTAAATGGCATCTACCACCTCCTGCATCCTATAAGCTAAATACATATGGTTCCTTTTGGAATAATAAATGGTACACTGGCAGTATTGTCCGAAATGACAAAGGTGATCTTATCTTAGCATTTTCTAAGCTACTAGACTATGGCACAAACATGATGGGGGACACTTGTTATTAGAGAGCTCTTGTCTCTTTGTGAACAACATCAAATGCTACAGATTTCATAGAAAGTGATTCAAAGTTACTTGTCAATGCTTTAAATAATAAATCTTGCCCCCCTGGCACTTCAGATACGTTACCAGAGAGTGTCAATATTTTCTCAACACACAACGTTAATATCTCACACCTTTACAGAAGGAAACAGAGTAGCATATACCTTAGTGAATTTGGCTCCTTCTAACCATTCCACTGTGTTATTTATAGATGCTTCTTCTATTCCAGCTGAGGTTTGAAGTCTATTTCAACAAAATGCTCAAGGTTTATTTGTTTTCAGAGCAAAATAGTACACGAGCCTTTCAAATTTCGGGATCGCTGTAGTCGATCATGGATTCCGTATCACTTCTATGATCCCAACAGGAAGAAAGTCTTTTGCTCAACCAATTGTTTTTTTCCCTGTTGTTTAGGGGGTGTTTGTTTCAAATCCTATAATTTTAGGATATGGATTTCACCATGGGATTTAAAATCCATAGGTGTTTTGTTATGGGTTGGGATTTCTAAAATATTGTTTAATTTTAGGATATGGATTTCACCATGGGATTTGAAATCCATAGGTGTTTTGTTATGGGTTGGGATTTCTAAAATGTTGTTGTTTCATTAATATTTTGGGATTTGGAATACTACAATTGTAATATTTTGTTTGTTTCAAACTCAAATTGTAGCATTACCAAATGCCAAAATTTTGTAATATGATGAATATGCTATCTTGGTGAGGTTACCTCCCACAAAAGGACAAAATTGGGATTTGTCAAATCCTCTCCATTTGAGAGGTAAGCCCACCCATTTATGAGATTTGTCAAAATCCTCTCCAATTAAGAGGATTTGGCAAATTCTAAAAATTGGGCACTTTTTGCACTTTTGTGATTCAATATTCTAAAATTTTTCTTAAAACAAACACCCTATATGGAATCCCAAAACACAAAAAAAACTCACTTTTTGATCCCAAAACTTGTAATCCATGCCAAATGCCAAAATTTTTGGTGAAACAAACACCCCCTTATGATATCTATCTATCCTCATTGTAGGCTCTCCTATCAGGGGTTTCGACCACATGCCCCCCACCAACCTCACCCCAATTTTTTTGAGGCTATTCCTGCCATCATTAAAATAAAATGGCTAGGTCTGTCTAGGGACCTCTGCGAAGTTTCGGTTAAAAAAATGCAAGTTAACAAAACAAAGTTTCTTGTCTGCTTGATAATGTTGAAGAAGAACCATGATCTGTTACTATTGATAGTGTCAACTAATATAAGATGAGAATAGAAGCAGAAGCTAAAGTAGAAATTTCTTGCAGCAGGGCTTTAGTAAACAAAATGTAACAGATTGTATATAATGCAATTTCGATATCACTGAACTGAAAATGAAGACTATATCAAAAATATCTTCTGTCAACTTTCATCAATTACATCCAGATAGATATTGTAAGAAATTCCATATACAAATAAAAACAGGTTTTGTACAATGCACTTCAACTAGAAAAAAATAGTATTTACTATTTACTTCACCTAAATTGCACCATTACGCCAATTTCTTCCCTATAAAATCAAAACTGAGGGGGACAATCATCTGAAATATTTACTTCAGAAGACACTAACCTCTTTTGCTCGAATAAGAACATCACTTGCTGGCATCTGACCAGATGATGGGACACGGGGCTGCTGAATCATTGCTGTAGTAAAGAGAAATTGGCATGTCAAAAACAATAGCAACTAAATGGAGAATTAATAAAAATAATAACATTAATTCTTCCAAACAGCAACATACCTTTGGAATGAGGCATCATAAATCTTCTACCTTTCTTCCCAGCAGCTAAAAGTAAGCAGGCCTGGCCTATTGCAGCTCCCACAGCTACAGTCTGAATCTGAAGACAGAGTAGGACATCACGATGAAGAACATGGAGTGCCAAATGATCTATCTTGCTTTTGAAATAACAAACCAATTAGAAGGTTTATATCCCTTTCAATGGAGCCAAGGCTACAACCAACTATACTTTCAGGTAAGTTGCAGGTCCCAAGAAGCAACCCTAGCCAACCACTAATTAGTTTTGCCGACAGTGTATCGCATAAGGATCTTACACTAAAAGCTAACTAGAAATAAGTTTATAGCTATGGGCCAAAGGAGCTGATCAAAAAGATCTACGTAAACAAACACTAGAGACATCACAAGGCATTTGTAAAATAACAGTAAGAAACCATAAGAACCAAGCAATTGGTGAAATCATATTATCAAGAAATCCAATCACCTCATTTTTTAACTGCATCATGGCATCATATATAGCAAAACCTTCACTCTCCATGCCAACCTAAAAGGCAAGAAAAAACATTTCAGGATATAAGACTGAACTTATGTGTCAGCTTGGAGTTTATAGTAATACAACTTAGAGGATTGTATCAACTATCAACTACTTAAAAGAATTTCATATCATATGAAGAATTCTATCCATACAATGCAGTAAGAACAAATGTTCTAACTTCTATGTTAGCCAACAGATAACATATCCCGCCCTATCTCAGGACCTTGAGCAGGAGCTAATAGCACGTGTAAATATAGATGGAATATCAATCTCCATGAAGGATTTGAAGTTTATCTAGCATCTGAAAATAACTAGTGGGACATTCTTGAAATTGGAACTAGAGTGTTTATGTTCTATAGAATGAGACACAGCGATTAGAATTACAATATCGTCTGGTGAAGGAAGGGGTCGATTATATGCCTTGATAGTTGCTGCTGTCGTAGTTGCTGAGCGACATTCTGGTCTTGTTAATATGACGGTGGAGGGAAGCTCTCCTGGTGGATGATGCAGGGATCATCTGAACTTCATAGAGTCTTCCAGACTACATTTAAACTAAGTTTTCTATTTCTAAGAGAAAGATAACTTTATTGTTCATTTTTTATGCCTCCTTTTTTGGGCTTGCCTGAAGCTCCTATCGTATAGAACTGGAGGAAGAGAGGGGTTATGGATGACTTGGAGTGCGATTAAGTTATGATGCAAGCAGCAGGTAGCAATAAAGTGAGCTAATTGGGCTGTTAAGATTGATGGGAAATACATGTGCTATTAAATGAGCTCCTCCCATTTGCAATAGCTAGACGGATTGGTATTTTATAGATATCATCACATGATTTATGCTCTGAAACCATGCACATACCATGCAATTAATTGCGTACTTGATTAAACAACAGAAGAAAGTTATTGATTGAAAACTAGGAATTAATGCTTGTAATATTAAGGTCCTCAGAGCCGTATAACATTCTGTACTAGTAGAATAATCTCGAAAAATCTTGCTAGCATAAAAAGTTTAGAAATCAATACGTTCTAATTAGCATCATTTGATAGGAGAATCTCCCAGATTTCATACAACTTGATAAGATTTTTTTTATCTTGTCGAACAATGAGAATTGGCAATTAGTCTATTGGATTAGAGGACTACCAAGAAAAATGTTGCATCAAGTCATATAAATAATTAGCACATCATTACACATTACACGCTTCTTACTTGTTATAATGATATCCAGCACACCATGAACACCATATGACCCTTCACATATTTATTTATAATAAGATGAACTTGTTGCTTTAAACGAGCATGAGTTCTTCATCAACATTGTTTATGACTGAACTTTAGCATCTTAAGCCAAGAATGAACCAAGTTAAAATTTTGAAACACAGAAATCCTTTATGATGCTCATGTAGGAGCAAAATTCACATGATGCTTTTAGCATCCAACTGAAACCAAATCATTGATTAACACAGAGAATGAAATGAAGTAAACCACAATCTACTTACAGTTTCACCATCATCACGGGTTGTTCCAGTAGAATTGATGTATAGATAAATTGGTTGCTTTGGGTCCATCCATTGCAGGTACATTAACTCAGCAATTACAAGCTCTGTGACAGCTGGCACCAACTAGTGCCCCCCAAGAAAAATAGTCAGATAAAGTTTTTGAAAATGATTAGTCTATAAGCTATGTAACTTTAAAAGAAAATATAAACAAAAAAGAAGTAACTATCAAAATAATTTCTTCGAGCCAGTCGAAGAGATGATTAGAAAGTGGGTCTCCTCCCATCTGTCTGCTCCGGAATCTTACACAATATAATTTCATGCTGAGTTGTAAAAAATGTGTGAAGCAGCATGCACACACAAGCAAGACATGCAACATTATCTACAAGCTCCCACACTAGATTTTACTTATGGACCGACCTTGATGAATTGATCAAAACAAATGGATGCTAGAAGAATGTTCTTAAATGAAGATCATGGCTGAGGTTCATCTTGAAGTTTAGCTAGCGTATTGAATCAGCTAAGTCATACAAGGTATAAACCTTACTCAAGCCAAAAATCGAGTTGAGCTTACATTTTCTCGGAAAAGTTAAACAAACCCTTAAATCACTATACCTGATTGTGTAAGTTCTTAATTTGAATTTGTTTAAGAAACTTACTGGCATGCCAATGTAGACAATACGTCCATGAAGGAGTAGCGATGGCAAATCCGGAGGAGGCTTTCTCGGCCTGTGTTCATTGTAGGAAATAGATCGTTCAACCTAATGAAATAACCACCAAGTGAAAAGCCATACAAGTATGTTAAATCATGTAAGGGATAAAAGACAATTAATACCATTCCTTGAAATAACAAAACTAGCAAGTAAATTCATGGTAGCATATACAAAAAGCAAACAAGTAAGAAAACATATTAAGCATTCCCAAGTTATAGATATAAGAATAGAGATCACTTTAAATGCAAATCAGCACTACAAAGTATCTCAGTTCTTCCCCAAAACAGAAGGACTACAGAAATGCTGCAAAGATGTACCGAGAATTTCGTCGCACAACTGTTGTAGGAGTATAAGAACTTCATAAGCAAGTTTTTAAAGTGTAGTCAATTTTAATGTGGAAGAGAAATTGTTAGGGTTCATTAAGAGATTTGGGTTTCTCCCCCTAACAAGCTTTTAGGGTGAGTTCTCCTAGCTTTCTCTTGAAATGCAAACCAGCGCTACGAAGTATCTCAGTTCTTCCCCAAAACAGAGGGACTACAGAAATGCTGCAAAGATGTACTGAGAATTTCGTTGCACAACTGTTGTAGGAGTATAAGAACTTCATAAGTAAGTTTTTAAAGTGTAGTCAATTTTAATGTGGAAGAGAAATTGTTAGGGTTCATTAAGAGATTTGGGTTTCTCCCCCTAACAAGCTTTTAGGGTGAGTTCCCCTAGCTTTCTTACAGCAACTCCACGTTTCCAATTGCGAGCAGCACTGCAGTGTCTTATCAAGACTACGACCAGTACACGGAGATGGCAGAATCCAGTGGTATGTTATATTCATTTAGTTCCACAATAAGTAAACGATGAGGAGTCAATTGTAGATTTATTCAGACAAACATCCTTGAAAATTTAGGGGTGAATTCTCCATAACATGCAGAAATCATCCTTGAAATTTTAGTAGCAACACGGTAAATAATCGTAAAAAGCGCCAATATTTCAGCAACCCGTTAACAGAAACAGCCTAAACCTAGGAGATCTCAAAGAAAAGCTCCGTCCTTTCTAAGTTACCTCAACAAATTAAACTAACGAAATTCGCAAAAAAAAAAAACATCTTTTTCATTCTCCTCAAAATTCACTCACCTGGGCAGGCGCGGCCATGAGCTTGGGGCTATCAAAGAGCTCAAGAAAAGGGGGAATCTCCGAATTCGATGACGGCGGCATGGTGACGAGGTCGGGATTGGCGGCTGCAATGGAGGCGAGCTTCGACAAGAACGGGTCTTTAGGGTCTAGCGGTGGCGTCGGAGGAGCCGCCGCCGCGGCCTTTGCTCGGAGAACAGTGTAGCTCGTTGGGGCTCTCCTTTGAGAGAGGGATGAAGAAGATGATGATGAAAGGATGGAAATGGGGATTTGAGGGCAGAGGGCTCGAATGCCCAAGCTCGTGGACGCCATTTCTGTGAGGTTTGAATGATTGTGTGAAAGATTTTGAGGGTTCATAGGGATCGGAGAAGTGCAGAGAAGGGACTGGGACTCTCCGATTAAATTCTATTTTGTTAGCAAAATCCACGGGACTAGTAGTCCCGTGGATTTTGTGTGAAAGATTTTGAGGGTTCGTAGGGATCGGAGAAGTGCAGAGAGGGGACTGGGACTCTCCGATTATATTTTTTTTGTTTGCAGATAAACCCCCGACTATGAACAATTTGAAGATGGGGTTGTTCTCGGGCGTTAGCCCAATCCGGCTTGAATTTTTTCCCGCTTCAGTACTGTTGTTTGAAATTACTTGTTGGGCATATCATCATAAATCTTTTTTAGAATTTAGATTTCTTAATATTTTTTTAACAAACAAATTGTATTTTTTAAAGTTAACAATATTACACATGTGATGATGACAAGCGGGCAACAAGCTGCGCCACTAATCCTTTCTGTATTGCAAAACCCAACCTACGAAACACATACTCAGTTGATCATGCCGTCGCCACATTCTTGTTCATGAATTTCTGTACCCTCCTGAAGAACTCCACCGCATCAGCTGCAAGGAAACCAAACGTATCGAACGCGAACGGGATGAAGCTGTGTTGGTTGTCCTTGCAAGCTTGATCATGTTTGCCCACCTTCGCCTCTGCCGCCCTATCTGTTTCATGCCCAACCGTGAACACACTCCATTACCAAATCCCACCAACGGAGACACTCCCGTGAGATCAACACAAGCATGCTTCCCCCCGCTCCAACTGTAGACAAGGACGTCTGCTGGCCTTAAAGTAGATCTAGCCTCTCCAGGAGGTGTGAGGAAGTTGACCGGCGCTTCCTTCTTTGATGGGATCCCTGCTCTTCGGAGGATATCATACAAGACATCTCTGACTAAGTCATGCATGTACTTGAATCCTGGCTGCTTCTGACAGTGGATGGCATGCTCTCCAAAAGCATCCATCTGCGCCCTACGACAAACTAGACACATAGTCCCCTCCACGAACAAAGGAACCAACAACCTGTACCTGAGAATGGCCTGGTACTCCCCCGGTGTCATACGTTGCCCCAATCAGGGGCTGTTTGGTTGGTTTTCTAAAAACCAAGAATAGGAAATTAGAGCTTGGAAATCTCAAAAAGTTCAATTTCTATCATTTTCATCCCTAAAACTTACCCACAACATCCAATAAAATATTATTTTCATCCAACAACTCATCCATATCATCCAATAAAATATTATTTTCATCTAACAACTCATCTCATATCATCCAATAAAATAAACCAAACAAAAGAAATGAGTCACATCATCCAACTCATCTTATCTCCATCTCATCTCATATTTAAAAATCACTCACATCATCCAATAATATGGTGACAACTCATCTCATCTCATTAACATTTCATCTCCACCCATTTCCTCCAAGGGGCTGTTTGTTTGCTCAAAAAAAGGAGGAAAATGAGGAAATGAAAACTGAGAAGGAAGCCACCTAGGATTTTTGTTTCCAACCTTTTCCATTTCATATGTTTGATTCGTCATGGGTTTTAAAGAAAAGAGAATGTGAAATGGGGGTCCACGTCAGAATATGAAGAAAAGTGTTTTCAGGGGTTTGAGGCCTGAAAACGGAAGGAAATGTCACGTCCCCGATTAAAAAAAGCGAAGGAACATTTATCGAAGCGGCGGGCCTCAAAAGATGGTTCTTCCTTGCGTTATCTTCATCGCCTCTGACCTTTCCCCTTCTTGCTTTGTTTCGCCATTGCTCTGATCCTTTCTCGCCATTTTTTCCCTATTTTACAAAAAAACCTTACAGCTGGAGATGGCCTTCGCGATCGACGAAGTCTTGAAGTTATTTCATGGGTTGCTGCTACAGGTCTAGCAGAAATTCGTGGTTTTTGGGTTGCTCAAAATGTACCGTTGGAACATTTTCGTTGCTATTGGGGCGGTAAGCTCACCTGGGTTCTGTCCGTTGTCAGGCTTTATTATTTGTACATGTCATGCACTGGAAGTTGAAATGACAACAGAGGAGATGAAAACATTTCTCCGGCTTGGTGAAACAAACACGTGGAAACAAACACGTGGAAACAAAAACTTACATTTTAATCCATTGATTTCATTGTGAAACAAACAAAGAAAATCAAATCTGGGAAACCCGAATGAAATGTTTAGAAATCATTTCTGATCTATATTTATGTTTTTTTTTTTAGGAAATGAACCAAACAGACCCCAAAAAAACAAGGAAATTGATTTTCTTAAGTGTGGGTCACATCATCCAATAATATAATGACATCTCATCTCATCTCATCTCTTATTTTTAAGAATGAACCAAACACAAGAGAAAAACCTATTATAGGAAATGAGTTTCATATTCTTTGATTTCCTTCTTTTTTTTAGCCAATCAAACAACCTCAAAACAAGTTTTCTTAAAAACCCACCAACATCATCCAATAATATGGTGACAACTTATCTCATCTCATCTCCTATTCTTTGATTTCCTTCTTTTTTAGGTAACCAAACAACCTCAAAACAATTTTCCTCCTAATCCTAATTGGGTTAATGATTAACCATGGATTATTATTTTCTATTTTTGCGATGAAATTTTGGCACAAACCAACAGCAAGTCCATATAAGTCCAGTGAAACGGGAATAATTTTTACGAAATGCAAAACAGATAACGGATATGCTTCAAAAGCAATTAGCAATTAATTGACCTAAAAGCAAGTGGTCATTTGAATCAATTAGTATTTTACCGAATCCATCTTTATGGAAAAAAGAGTTTTTGATATTAGTCCCTCAAAACTTACTTATGTTGAATTCTTTTCTTCAGTTATTCTGGAAGTAGTACTACCCTCAAATTATTGAATTGCTACTAAGTACCATGATTCTTAAGTTATTTTGAAACCATTTTTTCAGTCAAGAGAAAAACTAACAATTAGAGAAATTAATTTGAGACAACTTATGAGAATGGAAGACCTTATATGAATTTAATTGATTTGAAAGATTACTTTTAAGATAACTTAAAAATCCTGGACCACATAATAACTTCAATGATTTGAGGGAAATTTCATAATATGAAAGATTTGAGTGACTAATAATTAAAAAAAATTAAAAAGAACATTTTTCAAGCTCTCCAAAGAAAGGACTTGGCCTTTTTCTTAACTAGATTAAAAAGGAGTAAATATGTGAGACATTGGGGGGTGTTGCGCAATTCGAAAGGGGAATGAAAATGTGTAAGCAACTTTTTTTTTTTACAAATGACTTTCACATGCACGTCTACATACAAGTAAAATACAATATTTGTTTAAAAAATAAAATTCTTGGTAAAAGTGTAATGTGAAGGTGATGTGGTAAAATATAATTAATTAGTAAATATAATTAAAACTATTTAATTAAAAATGGTTAGGGAAAATTGTGTCCAGGCCCGACAAGCGGAAACTTCATGTGCTGCAGCCCCTTCACTTTGCCCCCACGTGGTTCAGCCCCTTAAAATGTGACATTTTGTGCCGTAGCATTTTTTTTAGCAATTATTACATGCCAACTAAGCTAAAATCCCCAAAATGTCCTTATCCGCTCTCCTCAATCCCTCAAACACAGCGCTCTCATCTCCCCCATCTCTCTCCTCTCTCTCTCTCTCTCTCTCTCTCTTTCTCTCTCTCCCCCTCTCTCATCTCCTCTCTCCTCTCTCTCTCAAGCTCTCAAAGTCCTGCTCCTGCCCACGACTACACCCTTCACCACGACGTCGGGCTCCAGATCTGCGCCCTAGCCCGCAAGTTCGCTGCCTCCTCCCCTCCTCTCCTCCGCCCGACCTCGTCGCCGTAGCTCGCTGCCGCTCCCCGCCTCGCCCTCGACTACGTCGGAGTCCATCCTAACCCATATAAATCTTGGGTCAGTGCGGCTTATGAACTTTTCCATCCTTTTTCCTTATTTTTTTATATTGGTGGAGCTACTTTGTTGTTATGTTGAAATTTTTTGTGCTTAAGCACGAAACTGGAAGCATTTGGAAGAACGGGCTTTTTAGGCAATCTGGTAACCAAAAAAATGAACACGGGTGGTGGTGGTTTTTTCCTTTCTTTCTTCTTTTTATTTGGGAGGTTGGGTTTTTTTTAGGTGTGGTGTGCGTTGGGGAAAGCCGGCAATCAAGATCAATTGTGCAAATCTTTACTTTTTAATTTGCATTTTAGATGCTATCCTTGTGAAGTAAGACTGATATTTTTTGCTCTTGTGACAGAAATGAAGACGTCACATGTCTTAAACCCTCTTAGAACTCATAATGGTTTTAAGCTGATTGATTTTCAGGTCACCAAAGCTTGAAGTCCTTCAATCCAAAGCAGCCAGAGTGTAACCGATGCATCCATCTCCAGAATCGCACTAAGTTGTTCAATGCTTAGAGAACTCGTCATCAGCAACTGTTATGAGATATCCTACAAATCGCTGGAAACAATTGGCAACAACTACCCGAACCTCACCTCTCTCAAAAGAAATCTCATGAACTAACACACGGTGAGTTAGAACTAATTCATGGCTCTTTGGCTCTTGTGTTAGTTCTAACCCACCGTGTGTTAGTTCTAACTCACCGCGTGTTAGTTCTAGTTCTAATTCATGGCTCTTGGGCTCTTGTGTTAGTTCTAACTCGCCGCGTGTTAGTTCTAACCCACCGCATGTTAGTTCTAACTCACCGCGTATTAGTTCTAGTTCTAATTCATGGCTCTTGGACTCTTGTGTTAGTTCTAACTCACCGTGTATTAGTTCTAGTTCTAATTCATGGTTCTTGGGCTCTTGTGTTAGTTGTAACTCATCGCGTATTAGTTCTAACCCACTGCGTGTTAGTTCTAACTCACCGCGTGTTAGTTCTAGTTCTAATTCACGGCTCTTGGGCTCTTGTATTAGTTCTAACTCACCATGTGTTAGTTCTAACTCACCGCATGTTAGTTCTAATTCACCGCGTATTAGTTCTAGTTCTAATTCATGGCTATTGGGCTCTTGTGTTAGTTCTAACTCACCACGTGTTAGTTCTAACCTACAGCGTGTTAGTTCTAACTCACCGCGTATTAGTTCTAACTCTAATTCATGGCTCTTGGGCTCTTGTGTTAGTTCTAATTCACCGCGTGTTAGTTTTAACCCACCGAGTGTTAGTTCTAGTTCTAATTCATGGCTCTTGAGCTCTTGTGTTAGTTATAACTCACCGCGTATTAGTTCTAACCCACAACGTGTTAGTTCTAGTTCTAATTTGCCATATCACCAACATCTCACTGAATCCACAATTTTGGATTTA